ACTGCACAAAACTCAAATAAAAGTGGATCAAAGGCTAAGGAATTAGACCACGAACCTTGCAACTGCTAGAAGAAAACATAGGGTCAACACTCTATTATATATATGCTAGTACCAACTTCCTCAATAAGATTCCCAATATGCAAGAAATAAAACCAAGAATCAATTAGTGGGATGCCATCAAACTAAAAAGTTCTGCATAGCAAGGAAATGATTAAGACTGTGAAGAGATAGCCTATAGAATAGGAGAAAGTATTGGCCAGCTACTCCTTAATAAGAATCCTACAGTGGAATAAATAAAATCAAGAATCCATAGGATGGATTCAAACCAAAAAGCTTCTTCTCAGCAAAAGAAACATTCAGTGAGGTGAATAAAGAGCCTACAGAATGGGAGCAAATTTTTACCACACGCACATCAGATTGGGCCAAGGAACTGAACAGAGATTTCTCAGAAGAAGATATACAATTGATCAACAAATATATGAAAAAATGTTCAACATCTCTAGCAATTAGAGAAATGCAAATCAAAACTACTCTAAGATTTCATCTCACTCCAGTCAGAATGGCAGCTGTTAAGTATACAAACAATAGTAAGTGTTGGCAAGGATGTGGGGAGAAAGGCACACTCATACATTGCTGGTGGGCCTGCAAATTAGTGCAGCCAAAATGGAAAACAGTATGAAGAATCCTTGGAAAACTGGAAATGGAACCACCATTTGACCCAGCTATCCCACTCTTCAGTCTATACCCAAAGTATTTGAAAACAGTAACACAGTCACATTAATATTTATAGCAGCACAATTCACAATAGCTAAATTATGGAACCAACCAGGATGCTCTTCAGTAGATGAATGTATAAAGAAACTGTTGTTTATTTACATAAAGGAATATTACTCAGCATTAAAAAAAGAATAAAATCATGGCATTTACAGGCAAATGGATGGAGTTGGAGAATATTATGCTAAGTGAAGTAAGCCAATCCCAAAAAAACAAATGCTAAATCTTTTCTCTGATATGTTCATGCTGATCCATAATGGGGATGGGGGGAAGCATAGGAGAAATGGAAGAACTTTAGATAGGGCAGAGGGGAGGGAGAGGAAGAGAGGGGATATGGGGGTAGGAAAGTTGGTGGAGTGAGATGGACATCATTATCCTAAGTACATGTATAAAGTCACAAATGATGTAACTCTACTTTGTGAACAACCAGAGACATGAAAAATTGTGCTTTATAAGTGTACTATGAATTGAATTGCATTCTGCTATCATGAATAATAAATTAGAGTAAAGAAATAAATTTTTTAAATTAACAAAAAAAAGCTTATGTTATGGTTTAGATAGGAGGTATCCCCAAAAAATTTCTGTGTGAGACAACACAAGAATGTTCAGAGATAAAATGATTATACTAGCAGACCTGTAACCTAAACAGTGGATTAATCCACTGATATGGATTAACTGGGCACTGTAGGCAGGTAGAAAGTGGCTGGTAGGAAATAGATGCTGGGGCATGATTTGTAGTTCTCCTTGTATCAATACATAACTTGTACTCCATAAATATATATAATTATTGTTTGTTGAGAGTATTTTGGGAGGAGTAGGGATTAAACATAGGGGCTCTCAACAACTGAGCTACATTTACAGCCCTATTTTGTATTTTATAGGGTCTCACTGAGTTGCTTAGCACCTCACCATTGCTGAGGCTGGCTTTGAATTCACAATCCTCCTGCCTCAGCCTCCTGAGGCACTGGGATTATAGGTGTGTGCCACTGCACCCAGTTTGCTGAGAGTATATCTTTAAATTTTTTTCCATATGTTTTTAAAAAACAGGAACTATGATTTTTGTATTCTGTACCTGAAAACATACTCCTTAA